TGGGAATTTCAAGATCGAGATGCACACTAGCAATTAAGATTAGGAATAACCAGAATTTTGGCCTTGCTGTAGTTGGGCTGTAGTAGCATATTTTAACCCTGAGTTTACAGTGTTGACTTTCAGAGCAATAAGGGGCCTGGTTTGGTAATAATTGATATGGTCACATGATGTACTGGTAAGGTTGCTATAATTGGGCTTGGTGTCTCATAATCAGCCTGGCTTCCTGCCCTTGAAGCGCTTAACTAGCGACTATTGTAATTAGTGTTGACAGCAGTGAGGGGGTCAGCTAGAGTGTGCTTTCGCTGTGAATAAGCAGCTACGTGAGCTCGCGCACCTAACTTGACCACTCAAATTCAGTATTGCAATGAGACCTTGAGATTGAAGTCTTTGAGGGAAGAAGAGGGAGTTGGGGGGAGGTGAAAGCAGATTATTTTGATTTTTAGGCCACGCCAAGACTTTCAAAGGGGTCTGTGTAGTCATGATTCAAGAGGCCAATGGGAAGAGTTCAACTTTCTTTGGGTAGAATTCAAGTGTAATTAGTTTTATTTTGTTGTCCAACTCGTCTGAATGCTCAAACTGAAGATGTAGGCTTCCTCTACTCTGGCCCAACATAGTGGGCGTTACTAAGTTACTTCAGTTAAATAGATCGATTGAAGAAGTTGGGTCTGTTTCATTGAAGAAGAGAAGGTTGAGAGAAAGGTCGTCAAAGTCATGAGGGTCTGAATAGTGTAGACAGAGAGCTGCTGCTCGTGAAAAGATCAGGATGAAGAAAGAGGACATAGGTTGATGGTAATTGGCAAAAGAAGCAGTGGTGACATGAGAAACTTTTTCATGTGGCGAGTGGCTAGGGTCTAGAATGCAGTGCCTGAGGGTGTGGTGGAGGCAGGTTCAATTGAGGCTTTCTGACGGAAATGGATTAATATCTGAAAAGGAGCAATGTGCAGGGCTACAGGGGGAAGATGGAAGAATGGCATTGGGTGAATTGGTGGCATAGTGGTAACGTCGTTGGACTAGTGATGCAGAAGTCCATGCCAATGTTCTGGGGACATGGTTCAAATCCCATTGTGGCAGATAGTGAAATTTGAATTTGTAATGTCTGGAATTCAAAGCTAGTCTAATGGCAATCATGTAACCACTGTTGATTGCTGTTATCATCAATTGTTTTAATAGTTCACTAATTTCTTTTAGGCAACAAAATCTGCTGTCTTTACATGGTCTGGTCTACAAGTGACTCCAGTCCCATAGAATTGTGGTTGACTCTTAACTGTCCTAATTCAAGGGAAACAGGGGATTGGCAACAAATGTTGGCAACAACAACGATGCCCACATCCTATATAAGAATTCTTAAAATTGTTCATTTGGAGTGCTGGCACTGACATGATGGACCGAGTGGCTTCCTTGTTTGCTCTAACCACTGTGTGAAATTCTGTTGTGTTGAAATTTCCATGATTGCTAATCCCAGTGGCAATTACTGTACGTGTTTCTCTACACAACACGCCTTCTCTCATTGAGACTAGTGACCGCAAGAATTGTAGTGTGGATGGGCCTCACCTGTCAGTTTGGCAATTACCTGTTTCCCACCCCAACTCTGCCCATGGACAGTCCTAAGTGAGATGGGCAATTAAGCTGGCAGATGCCAGCTTCCCTCAGGAATGGAGCCTGCAAGCTGACCAGTTTCATTTCTCGAGATTACCCTGAAAGCCAGCAGACAGAGAAAGCGAAAATCTCATCCTCTGCAGCTTTTCTCATCTTGAAGGTGATTTGAACTTATCTTTGTGGTTTCTTATACGTGGAGGCATTCTGTAATGTATGACTGTTATTTTCGCGTGTGCGCGCCTATGCAATGTGAACCTTAATCATCTGAGAATTCCGCTGCATGTGAGTCAACAAATCTTTCGGACAGTGGGTGGGGGCGGAAGGGAAAGGTTCACATGATGGTTGGGTTTCTTGACTCTGACCTCCAACCTGATTTTCTGCCTTTAAATCTTCCCGGAGTGGAAACGGAAAGTGTGCTTGGATTGCAGGGAAAAATATACAAGTTTTCCTATTAAAATAAGGGAAGGACGGGAGACTGGCATTTACATAGTGCCTTGCATGAGCTTAGGATGCCCAGAAGGCCTGCCACCATTTCAACAAATGCAGGTGTGTCTTACGTTCTCGCCACTCTCTAGGTTTCTCCTGAATTTCCTGTTGCATTTGTTAGTGATTATAATATATTTGATCATCAAATTTTACAGAACTGGGATTTCTACTAATCTGTTTCCTTCTCATGTATATGCTTCGCAAGAGGCTCCACCCATCCCTCTTCAACTAACCCTATCAGCATATCTTTTCATTTCTGTCTCCCTCATATGCTTATTAAGCTTTCTGTAAATGCAGCAATGCTGTTCATTGTAACAATTCCCATATCCTCAATGCTGTCGTGATAAATGGTTCCATTAAATAAACTGCTGCTGACCTTGTTGAATCCCTTCATTATCCATTGGGGGTCGCTTCTCACTCTTGTGTCGTCTGGAGAGACTGTTCTATCATTCCTGACAGGTACGAATCCTGACACCAAATTTGCAAAGTCAGGGTTATAGGACCAAGGCAAGTAGCTGAAGTTAAGATGCAGATCATTGATGATTGAAATGAATGGCAGAATATGCTTTAAGGTGTGAATGCTCTTTTCCTGTTAGTGTGTTCCTAAGTGTTAGTTTGAATATGAGTATGTTTAAAGAAACCCTTTAAAAACTGCTAATTGGAAATCATGCCTAATTAGGTTGATTAATCCCATCCCTTTTATTGTACACAATTCCAATCACATTTCCTATTAATTTCTTTGAACTTTCTGAGGCAGGAGCTACTCTACTGGAGCCTATTTCAATGGTGTGAGCTATTGCAATCTTCCTGCCAATAATCCAGCAAGTCTGGTGAGGAATGGCTGGAATGCCTGTAATATACAAATGTGCGCCATCCAATATTTCCCACTTCCCAACCTCACCCAGCATTCTTCGATTGGGAGGGAGGTGACTCGCAAATAGTAATGGAACTGGTTTTGGCCCATTCACACATTCTGTCTGTGTGAGGGTTTTAATTCGTAAAGTCATTGTCTTTTGAGTTGACGAGCTAATGACTTCTTACTTGATGTGGTGGGACTAGAGAAGCTGAGATTTTTTTAGAACGGCTAAGTCTTGGTAAAGGTAGACAAAATCGCGAAAGGCTCTGATCACACAGAAATGGCGGAACGATTCTCACACACAAGAGGATCAACAACCAGAGAACACAGGTTTAACATCATTGCCAGAGAAAAACTGTAGAGGAAGACATATGTTTACAAAAGGGAATTGGTTATAGATCTTTTCTAATCAACCTGTTCATGGATATTATGACAAGTGTAACTTGAACCCAGGTCTCCTGGCTCAGAGATGGAGCAAGAAAAAGAATGTAGCTGTGTAATGAAACTGACGCAGGAACGATGGACTGAATGGCCACCTCCTGAGCTGTATGATTCTATTCTAGATTGATATCTACTAATATTTCCATCACCCTTCGCTAATTATTCCCCCCTTCTTCTGCTGAGCATTGATGAGCAGATGCCAAAGGCAGCCTTCTTGTTTCAAGCCTGGGCATTGAATATTGATGCTTTTTGGCCTTTGAGAGCATGGTGAACCCTACCATCATTCTGGCCTAGGTCAGCAAGTGCAGTGTAAAGTGGGTATTGAATCTGAGGGGGAGGCCTAATGGAAATGCTCAAGGTTACCAGGAGTTCCAGTTGAGCAAGTAGGAAAGGTATATTGTTTTAGCAAGTGGGTCAGTAACCAGGGGCACAAGATTTAAAATAATCGCAGAAGGAGATGGGTAGAGTTTTTGTTTCACTTGGCTCTGGAATGGATTACTTGTGAAAAGGCTTTGAAGGGGTGTTGACATGAAAAAGATTCATTTACAGGGTTAGGGGGAGAAAAGGTGAGATATGCATCCAAATTGAAGGATGTTCCCGATGACTGGGGACTCCAAGATCAGGTGACAAGGTCTAATTAGGCCATTTAGAACTAGATGAGGAGAAATGTCTTCATCTGGAGAGTGGTGAGCCTGTGAAAGTTTTCCATGTGCTATGGACCATTCTGGGAGACTTGTTGCTAATTTTCAATGGAATTGTATTGACAAGGTATTGTTGCATTAACTGGAAACAGTAACTAATTATTTTCTTCTTCAGGGGCATTGGAGAAGGAATATATTGAAACAGATGACTGTACATGTGTTGCATTAGGCTCCCCGAATTAAACTATTCCCTAAGTTACCCATGTGCAATAGAGTCTGTAGTGGGCTCAGCTTTGAAAAACCATTTCTACCGAAGCGTTGTCAGAAGAAATGTTAAATTTTCCCCATCATTTAGACATCAGTGTTCCCACAGCCATTATTTCAGAACACCTCCGCTACCACAACGTCCTGGCCAATATTTAGTCCAATTCATACAATACTGCATATCATATTATCTGGTCTTTTTAACACACTGCTGTTCCTGGGAGTTTGCTTTGAGCAAATTGACAGCAATATTTCCTGCATTACAATAGTGACTGCATTTCAAGAAGTGCTTCAAAATGGCCTGAGTCTGCACGTGCTGTTATATAAATGCAATTTGTTTGCCTTTCCTTACATACGTAGTGTTGCATGAGGGGGGCTGCTTTACTTTTCTAAATCCCTTGTTGTTGTTGTTATTGTTCATAATGTGAATGTCACAGATTCCCAGATTATAGGGAAATGCATCATGTGCTGTGGATATGTAAACATCCCACCCCACCCCACCCCCAATCACCACCACCACCTACCTTTACTGCTGATTTCCCCTCATACCCCATTCCCACTCTTTCTGGGGGCATATGGCAGGTCACAATGCAGTTTTGCCACAGGCTGTTGAAGGAATTGAAACATCACTGGGCATTAATTCCAGCAGTAGGTCTGCGCTGAATCCTTGTTTTTGCTAATATTTTAATGTCTTTTATTTTATTCCTTCTCTCTAGGATTGAACCGTCACAGATTTCTCTAGTAAGTATGATGCAAGTTTAAAAGTTTTGAGTGTTTTCTTTGCAAACCACTGAATGTTTACATATTTTTATCCTGAATTGATATGCTTAGACTTGCCAACATTGCCATATCTCAGCAAAAATAAATGTGAATTAGATAAACTACTGGATAGTGTCTGAGAAATCTGACTCTTGGTTTGTTTTGTTCTTTTAGATCAGCATTTATTGCCCATCTCTAATTGCCTTTGAACTGAGAGGCTTGCTAGGGCTATTTCAAAGGGCAGTTAAGAGGCAAACATGTTGCTGGGTTTGGACTCGCATGTAGGCCAGACCATGAAAGAACAGCATGTTTTCTTCCCTGAAGGGCATTAGTGAACAAAGTTTTCTTTAAATCAATGTTGGCTTCCTTTCATTTCCAGATTTATTAATTAAATTTAAATTCCACTCTCTGATGTGGTAGAATTTGAACCCAAGGTTCCACACCCAAAACCTGGGTCTCTTGATTACTATTCTGGTGACATTACTGCTGTGCCACTGTTTCACTATGTGCTAGATCTGAAAACAGACCAGTATATCTATCTAACATCTGGCTGGAGATTTTATCTGTGCATTGACTGTTGTAATTCATATACGTCTCTGCAACTGCTCAGCTCTGTCATTTCTTTACGTATTCTGCAAAGCGTAAGGTTTATAATGCTCAGTTTAAATATTGTTACTTTATTAAATATGTCTGGACGGGGCTCTTGTGGCACAGTGGTAGTGGTAGGGCACCAATCATAACCCTGTCTTTGAAGCAGGAGGCCCAGGTTCAAGTCCCAGAGGTGTGTCATAACATCTCTGAACAAGCTGCTTAAAAATATTCTAAATAAGTCTGAATAGAGAGCTAGTGCCAGTAATGGACCCATCTGGCTCACTCACACACACCTATAGGGAAGGAAATCTGCCATTCTTACCCAGCCTGGCCTACATGTGACTCCAGACCCACAACAATGTTGTTGACTCTTAGCAATCCTCCCAAGATGTCCTGTTAATACAACGAGTTGTATTAAACACTGCACCCTCTTAAAGCATGGAGCTTGACCACTCCTATTCTTGTTAATTTTGATCCTGTTATGCCTTGGGTAAGTACAGACAGAGAGACTATCAAACTAAGACCACGTGAGGGAAGCTCCTCCTCCATTCTTTCTCTCTGAACTATCAGCAGTGCTGTTTGGACTCAATTTAATGAAAATCCATACGCAATCTTAAAAACATTTTAACAGACACCTTCTTCCCCCTCCTGTGTTTTTACTTCTGGTCAGGCTGTAGGAAGCCTGGAACACACTCTAGGATCCTACAGTGCAGGAGGAGACCCATCAGCCCATCAAAGCAGCACTGACCCTTTAAAAGAGCTATCTACATTAGGCCCAGTGCCCTGACTCTTTCCCCATAGCCCTGCAACTGTTGCTGTTTCAAATATGGATGCAAGTCCCTTTTGAAAGCTCCTTTTGAATTGACTTTGAGCAGTGCATTCCAAAGGGCTGCCTATCACCCCACTGGTTTTTGTTGAGATTCTTTGGTCTGCCTGATTTCCTATGAGCATAGAGAGACACAAAACTGGAATATGCTCCATTGCCTGAAACAGTCAAGTGCAAATAACCAGAATGATGGGCTGAATGGCCTCTTCCTGTGCTGTGTTGTTTTACAATTCTGAGTGTACTCCAATTTCTAGTCAGCAGTGTTACCACAGGGAGTTCTGAATGAGATCACATTGATTGAACCTTGAACCCTCCACTGCAACACGACCAACACACTCTCACCTTGGGGTCCCACCTAATAACCAGGCTGGCCTCCGCTGAGCGTAGTTCAGGCCATCGCTGGAATGAGTGCGAAACATGGCTGAGTAAATTGTAACTTTCTATGAACTGGCCACTGGCAAACATGCAGGATTGAGGCAAGAGACTGAACGGTGAGACCAGACTCTGTATTCAAATCATTGACACACTCCAGTTATTAATCACCCCCTTCCCTCCACATCATGGCCATGTGCATCCGTACAGAGGGTCCCTGGGGTTACAAATAAACAGTCCAAAGAGCTGTATGCACGAACACAAAAAGGAAACAGGTGGGAGCATGAGTGAACTGAGGCTGAGATAGATAGATTCTTGATTGGTCGGGGAATCAAGGGTTATGGAGAAAATGCAGAAAAGTGGATGTGACAAGTGTCAAATCAGCCACAATCTTATTGAATGGTGGAGTGGGCCCGAGGGGCCAAATAGCATACTCCTGCTGCTATTTCTTATGGTCTTTGAGCCCTCATGGCCGCCAGCCTCCTGAGTTATCGCAAAAGTTAACTTATTAACCAAGATTGTCCAGGCATATTAAAAATTACGCTGACGCCTCTTGTAGAAAAATTCAAATAAGCTGGCTGTATAGCATACTTGTACACATTAGCTGAGGTTTTGCAAATCCACCTCATTTGTTTATTTTTCCTAAGCCAGTGTTATTGCCCTTGGTACTAGCTTACACGGCCCACTGTGGAACTGAAAGCACTGCGAATGCAGCTTTCAGTCAGATTAGAATTTTTAATATTCATTTATGGGATATTAGCATTGCTGGCTGGGTCAGCATTTATTGCCCATCCCTAATCACACTGGAGTAAGTGGTGGTGAACTGCCGCCTTGAGCCACTGCTGCCCACAGTGTTATTAGAGTTATTACCCAATGATGGATGCCTTGTGTGCTCTCTCAGCCCAGTGTAAAGGGTCCCACCTCCAATATTGCGATGGAGATCAGGGGACATCCTCCTAGTACCCCCTTGGCCAACGTACAGTTAAAAACAGAAATAAAAGCAAAAATTGTGCAGATGCTGGAGATCTGAAATCAAAACAGAAATTACTGGAGAAACTCAGCAGCTCTTGCAGCATCTGTAGAGAAGGAGAAACTTTACAATTGGACTTCAAGTCCAATTCTCTGTTTCTGTCTCCCTGGATGTTGCTAGATCCACTTTGCTTTCCCACCCCACTGCTTTTTTGTCATTGAAAACAGCTTCCTCGGTTGGTTATTTAATTATTGTTGTCTTTTTATTCATTAATCGAATGAAGGCGTCGCTGGCTAGGTAGCATTTATTGCCTATCCCTAATTGCCCAGAGGGCAGTTCAGAGTCAATCACATTGCTGTGGGTCTGGAGTCACATGGAGGCCAGACCAGGTAAGGATGGCAGATACCTTCCCTAAAGGATATTAGTGAACCAGATGGGTTTTTCCAAAAATTGACAGTGCATTCATGGTCATCATTAGATCCTTAAATCCAGATATTTTATTGAATTCAGGTTTCACCATCTGCCATGGCAGGATTCAAACCCGGGTTCCCAGAATCCGAGTTTTAATGGTCCAGTGATAATAACCCGAGGCCATCACCTCCCTGGGAGGTGGCTGTGAGCAAATTGTCCATTGATCATATTGTGATAGTCGCTGTAGTCCAGCAAACACCTCATTGACTGAAGACCCTGAAAATGGGGATGGTACATGTGTGATGTTTCAATTTGCATATCGGTTCTGGAACGGGAGAGGTTAATGTGCTCTGTTGCTGCAAGTCACAGGAAGTCTAAGCAGTGGATGGGAATATCAAATGAAAATTAGGATAATTCTGACAGTTCTTTTCTTCTCTGCAGTATCCTGATGCAGTGACATATGAAACAGATACATACAGCAAGCATCCAGCTCCTTTTTGCTCCTACTATGTTGCTGAACCAGAACAACCTTCAGGTCAGTGATTTGGATGTTGGTAGATATTGAAAGAGGGCTCTTTTTTAATCTCATTGCTAGCGATTGGACTCTCCCAATCACTAGCGTCATCACTTCCTGTCTCATTACTGGGATTGAGAGCCCAGCCCAGCTCAGAGCTAATACAAAACCTTGCAGTTATGGAATGCTTGATAATGGAGCACAAGGACCTCTTCAATGCTACTTGTTTTTAATCAATCTTCAGAAATTAGGGCATCACTGCCAAATCTAACATGTATTACATGCACCTAGCTGTCCCTTGAGAAGGTAGCGGTGGGCCCCTGAAGTCCATGAATTCGGATCATCCACAGGGCTGTTATGGAGGCAGTTTCAGGATTTTAACCCAGTAACAGGGATGGAATAACATTATACTGCCAAGTAAGGATGGTGAGTGGCTTGGAGAGGAGCTTTCAAATGATGGTGTTCCTAAGTATCTGCTGCCCATATCTATCTAGTTAAGGTCCCAGGCTCACTAATAGGGTGAGATGAAGATGGCTGGGAGGAGTCTTGAGTTGGACATGAACAATGACACAGACCTGATCCAAATGGCCTGTGTCTCTGTTATAAATTTGATATGACTTCCTTATTCATTTGAATATTTAATAATCCAGGGAGACAATATTTTGCACATTACAAGCAACAAGTTGCACCGTATCTATATTTGAGAAGATTGTCATTCAACAGCATTATCATTGCCATATCCCACAGCACCCTTTTGATCCATCAGAGTTACCTGGAACAGCCCCATAAATAACATGGCCATGAAGCAGGATGAGGCTGAGTATTCTGCAGCAAGTTACTGACTATCTGACTTCCCAAAGCCTGACTGTCATCTACAAGGCACAGGTTAGGAGTATGACAGAGTGCCATACACTTGTCTGGATGAGTGCAGCTCCAGCAGTACTCAAGCTCAATGCCACCCAGGCCAAAGCAGCCTGCTTGATTGGCATCCCATCCCCCACCTTCGACATTCACGCCTTCACCACCGATGCACAGCAGTAGTGGTGTGTAGCATGTAGAAGATACACTGCAGCAACTCACCAAGGCTCCTTCCTCACCTTCCAAACCGATGACCACTACCATTGAGAAGGGCACGTGGGCACACCACCATTTGGAAGTTCCCCTCCAAGCCACCCAACATCCTGACTTGGAAATAAATTACCGTTCCTTCACTCTCACTGGGTCAGAATCCTGGCGCTCCCTTTTTAACAGAACAAAGAATGTCCCTGAACCACATGGACTGCAGCTTCTCAAGGAGACAGCTGTCCTCCAACTTCTGGAGAGCAATTAGGGATGGGCAATAAATGCTGGCTTAGCCAGTGATGGCCACATCCTGTAAAAATTAAAAATAATATCTTGCAAATTCTGTTTCAAAGTGCATACATTGTTTTCTTCACCCTCTCAGATACCCCGTTTAATCCTGTTTGTATTGTAGCCTGCATGTTGAATTATTGACTGATGTTGGAGGTGGCTGGAGAGACTAAGCACAGGGTCTAAGGACAGTAATGTTCCAGAAATATTCAAGGTGTCACTCCTAACAAGCTGATTCTCTGTGTTTAGATCATTACTGGACGGGCTCTGAACATCACAGCCTGAGCTATGATCATTTTGATGGTGGGCAGTTCACCCAGCTTCAGAATGTGGCAGTCTCCCACCTGCAGAGTTTGTACCCGCAGTTCCCACTGGAGGTCGTCAGCACCCCAGACCCCTCACTGCCAAACCATACCACTTGCCCACTGGAGGAGGACTACAATCAGGTAAAATTTCAGAATCTGCCGATAATACCAACCTTGGCTGTGTGGCAAAGAGTGCCGATGTTACTACTAGACTGCAAATTGACATAGACAGGCCTGCAGAGTGGGCAGACAAGTGGCAGACGGAGTTTAACTAATGCATTTTGACAGAAGGACAGGGGACTGGCCATATCTACCTGATGGCACAGTTTTAAAGAGTGTGGAGGGAAAGAAGGACCTGGGCGTTCTTGTGAATTGATCTTTAAAGAACGTAAGGCAGGTGTGTAAAGTCACCGTAGGATCACCCTTGAGAGTGAGAGACAGTTGATGGTATGTTTAACCTGAGGGTCACCATGCCTCAGGTGAGGGGAGATGTTGAGAAGGTGGTAACCTCAGCTGATGCAGGAATTGAACCTGTGCTGTTGATGTCGCTTTGCATCGCAAACCAGTCGCTCAGTCAACTGAGTGGGGCAACGTACTATAGTGAAAGAATGGTTAGCAAAGCAAATGAATCTTGAGCATCATAAATAGGAGCACTGAGTAAAAATGCAGGGCTGCTAAGGTGAACCTTTATAAAGGTCTGGATAGGTGACAGCTAGAGAATAGAGTAGCAAAGATGATGTTTCGAGTCCAATACGACGACTCGACAGAATTGAAGAATGCACAACGCTGACGACGCAGTTCTGAAGAAGAATTACATCCGACTCGAAACGCCAACTCTGTTTCTCTCTCTGTGCAGATGCTGTCAGCCCTCCTGAGTTTCTCCGGCAATTTCTGTTTTCATTTCAGAACTCCAGCTTTTATTTTAGTTTTCCTCTGTCTTTTTGGGGGCGGGGAAAACAGATTTTTGAGACAATCCACATGCAAAGGAGCCATGTTTCTCGCTGGTTAAAGTGGGAAAGCTGGGAGGGAATTTGAACAGAACTAGTTTAGTTTGAGATTATTGTCGGCATGAACTGGTTGGGAGGGTCTGTTTCCAACTCTATAACTGTCTCTTCTTTAGATTTGGGGTATAATTTACTGGAGAAACAAGCACCTTGGGAAGGGAAAAGAAGGCAGCAAAGTGTGTTACAAGAGAGAGAAAAGCTTGTGTGTGAGAGAGAGAGAGACGACAGGGATCATTTATGCCTTTTTCCCCATGATGTAATATATTTGTTTAAGCTGAAGCTGTAAAAGTCTTTCAAGGAGTTGCCAGAGCATTCACACCAATTTCTGCTCCCAGTGTTGCAGAGAAAGCTCCCACTGCAGACTGACTAATCGAATGATGTAGTTGGGAGATAAACTCTGCACCACTGGGAATCAACAGAAGCATAAGTGATGTGAGAAACTTCCAAAGCTCTCAGTGATTTAAAATAAATAATACTTTCTTTTTCTCTCTTTCTTTCTTTGACCTTTTCTCTCAGCTCTTTTACAGTCTTTTGCTTTTTAATATTGTATGTCTATTAGTTGTAATTTTTAATGTGCACTGTCTAAAGAATTATTGGCGCAGGCATTTTATTTTTCCCTTTTCTTTTGCATTTCCCTCCCAGCAGGTTTTCCCTATGTTGTATCCTTCCTTCCAGACGCCCACCGATTTGTCGAGTCCATCGATATCTGAGGATGATGACTACAACCTGGGCAGCCCCGTGCTGGAGGTTTCTGACAGTGAGTTTGACGAGAATGTCCCTCCCAGAGAGTCGTCCACCCATGATGGAGGTCAGTGCAGGCCCCAATGACAGATTGACTTGAGAATCTGAGAGGATCTTAGTTAGTGAATGGAGTCTTGTGTTCACTTCTGGGAGATTGTGGAGTGGAATGGAGAGGAGGGGGGAGGGGAGGAGAGAAGGAAGGATGAGGAGGGGGGAGGGGAAGAGAGAAGGAAGGTTGAGGAGGGGGGAGGGGAGGAGAGAAGGAAGGACGGGGAGGGGAACGGGGAAGAGAGAAGGAAGACGGGGAAGGGAGGAGAGGAGAGAAGAGAAGGAAGGAAGACGGGGAGGGGAGGAGAGAAGAGAAGGAAGGAAGGACGGGGAGGGG